AAGTGAACTGTAGCTATTTTCAGTGCCAACAAAGTCCAGAGCTCCTCAGAGGATGAAAAGAGCCAAGTTCATCGGGAAAGCCAGCATGACAAGCTCCTCCAACAGAACCAACAGCTCCTTACAGCTTCTACCAGCTCCGAACAGGCTCTCTCAGCTCCCAACAGCCCCACTTCTCCAGTTCCTCCTCTTACGCTGCCAGCAACAATCCTCAGGTGGGCCTCCCACACCCAGCACAATGCTTCCTCAGTTCAGCTGGGGGTTATAAGTTGACCACCAGTTGTCAATCCACTACAATGTGTATAATCAATTCTTTTCATTCTTCTGAAAAACAGTTTTATTCTTCCTCTTCTTTCCTGAGACTCCCAAAGCCTCATGCCCCTGTGACTAGGCTGATGACGTCTTTTGCTGCACTGAGAAACCGGAAGCTCCGGGAACAGAATTCTGACAAGCCTCCAGCTCATCTTTCTCCTGCACTCCTGCAAATCATCCCTGGTGCTCTCCCTTCTTCTCTACGCCCTGGAGGGCGTGGCCCTGCTGCTGCCGAGCCCAGCACTCTGCTTGTGACCCAGGTGCCCTCCATGACCAGTGCCTGACCACAGACTCCGGTGATCTTCTCCCTCTCTGCCTCATCATTGTCCTCTGCCACTCAGCAGCTTTTTCCTGCAAAGCCCAGTGCCAGGTACCCTGGGGTACACAAAGGTGAGTCAATAGCTCGCCCATTCCCAATAGCATCAGGGAGAATCGAATCGTCTCACCTGCAGGGCCAATAATGAAGTATGCAACAGAAGGAAAAGAACAATGACATACGTGCTCCTAAACTCCCTACGTGTGGCCTAGATGCCGTAGCTAGGCCGAGAAACTGTATCTGCCAACCAGAAAGCAGAATTCTATGTCCATGAGGGCATGGATAAGACTTAGAATCTGGTATTACATCAACCATGTGGAATCATTCTGCCTATTTTTGGCTTGGTAAAAAAACAAAAGTAATAACCCCAATCACTTCAAAGCAAACAAGCAATTTACTATTTTAACCAGAACGGCATGTTTTTAGTTTACTTTTTCACTGGAACATGTTTGTGATCCATGATAATTACCATCCCCATGAGGAGCTGCATATACGTGTACTACTTCTTAATCATTCTTACTTTCCCTCCCTGTCTTCCCATCCTCACATCCTTTCCCATCTCCACAAAGTCTATCTCCCTGTTTCCTACCATCTAAATTTTCTTTTGCTCTTTAAATTATTTATATTTTGGGTTTCTTGTATAACAGAAAAATGTAATAGTCACCCTGGGTTTGATTCGTTTCTCTTAGCATTATGGTCTGAAGGTGCAGCCATTTGCCCACAGATGATTCAAATTTATCCTTCTGTGTGGCAGAGTGGTACTTCGTTTTATACTCATGCCATACTTCCTTTATCCTGGTATCTGTTGATGGACCTGTAGGAATTCTACAGTCGTGAGCAGGCTCTAGCATGAGTTGGCCGCAGTAAGATATCAATGTCTTATTGTATTAGTCAGAGTAGATTAGGTTATGCTTCAGTAACAACAACCCCCCAGGATGTTAGTTGCTTCTCACGCCAGCTGGCTGTGGGTTTGAACAGATCCCGGGTCATCTGTCCTTTGGGCATTAGGTGGGAGGCGGTCTGGTGGTTCGCAGTATTACCCTGTGGTGATGTTGTCCCCCGTGCGGTCCAGATGGGTGTGCAGCACTTCCTCCAGCGTTTCTTGGCCCAGAACATGCACCTGCCCAAGGGCAAGGGACTGAAAAGTGTTGCCTCCTTAGTGCCCAGAGGGAAAAAAGAACCAGAGAGACGCTGATAGTGTTGATGTCTCCCACATCCAACACCTCCCACCGGTTCCTGGAAATTTCTCCTCATCTGCCTTTCGCCTGGCGCCTGGCTGTGGAAAGAGAAGGATGTGGTGTTCTGACGTGTGCATCAGTGATTTATTCAGTGGAGCCAGTTTATGGGGTCTGTGGTCAGCAAGGCTGTCACTTCCGAGAACCCAGTCCCATGGACGCTGCTCAGCCCACATATTGGGTAGGGGCATCCTTCCAATTGCCAGCAAGCAGGGAGGATGTCAGTTCACTTTGGCTGGATGTAGGAAATGGGAATTCTGGACATGGTCATCGCTACTCGCTAAAATTGGCGGCATCTAGGCCACACGTAGGGAGCTTAGGAGCACGTGTGTCTTGTTCTTTTCCTTCTGTTGCATACCTCATTTCTGCTCTTACTGGTCTGTTGTTTCTAACCATAAAGGTGGAGTAGGTGTGATATCCAGGCATTTAAAGGCCAAGTGCTGAATTGTGTGTGTGTGTGTACACATGCTGAGCATGTGAAATTTACTGTAATGCCTCATTATAAAACCATTGCGAAAAATGAGACTAACCCATAAAACTGTAAGGAAATGGAAATTTCAAACATTCACGGAAATCCTAAGATGAGGGTGTTGCTCCTTGCCGCCATGGGAAAATCCCTCGGGCAGGACACATGACAGATTAACTAGTTATGCTTATTGCTTGCTGTGGTAGACAGATAATCAAGATTATAAAACTGGTTCCTGCTTGTGTCCTCACTGATGCCAAAATGAAACAGAAGAAGAAAGATGTCATAGAAAAATGTGGAGAGTTGTAGGCTGTAGAATGAGGAGACGCACTTAGAAACTTCTTCAGATTAAGGCTTTGCAAAATTAAGACTGACAGACCCAACTCTGTCAGTCCCGGTGGCTCCTGGATCTGTGCTTCCTTCCCGATGCGATGCAAGGCACTGGGCTCGAAGTTGCCAGGGAAACACACGAATGACATTTTTGTGGATTTATTCATGTGGTGGGGTGTGCAGTACTTTGTACTTAAATCTGGAATCATGGTATAGAAATCACCCTTGGGGACCTGTTTCAGAACTGCCCTGAGCTCAGAAGAATTGCAAATTCCCAGGATTATCAAACTGCTGGATAGAAAACAAGTTGCAGTTTCAGAAGTATTCCACCTCAGTGAGCAGATGAGCAGTGTAAATAGATATTAAGGCAAAGAATCTAAACAGCCTTTGGTGATGCTGCTTTTGTATCTGAAAGATGTTGTTAGATTCAGAAAGATTGCATTCCCTCACATCTTTCCATGTTAATAAGGCTAACAAGTTCATTCTTTTTTTTAATATGTGGGTTTGTTTTTTTTTTTTTTTTGGTATTTTTGGGGTTTTTTTTTTGGTACCAGGAATCAAACTCAGGACCTTGCCCTTGCCAGGCAGGCACTTGTGCCTCTGAGCTATATCCCTGGCCCCTTAAAGTTCATTCTTAACAAGTTCATTCTTAGCCCATGGAGACCTCTTTCCCGGGGAGGCCTCCAAGATACATCCCTGGTGCTAACTTCAAGAGAACAAGTGCATGATACACATACGCCTTACACACTCTCCAGGCACCAGGGTCAGCGCCAAAATACAACATGCCTATGGTGAACATAAAGCCCACATCGTCTTGTAGGCACAGAGAATGAGGGACACTGCCACCTCTCCAAGCTTTTGAATTCTGTTTCCATTGCTTGTAGCAGGGTGCTATGACAGCACGTGACAACCCCCATATAGCATTGCTGGCAGCCACAGCCCAGGGAACTGATCTAATGCGTCACAGGGGAGCTTCTATGTGCTTGGTGACCTTACTCAGCCTCCCAAAACACTCCATCATAGACAAGAGCCCAATTTTGTTTTGGGGGCTCACAGAGATCCAATAACATTCCTAAAGTGTCACAGCCTGTGAGAAACTGGTGAGGACCTGAGCCCTCTGACTTCACCATACAAGTTTTGACAACCAGCCTATGTTCCAAGTGGCAGCATTCTGGAGGAAAGCCTGAGAGGTAGAAAGAAGAACTCCTGGGGAGGTGGCCTTCCCTGGCAGAAATTCACCTGTTTAAATACAGTATCCTCTAAGTTAAAAAAACTCAAGGTGCTCTTGCTTATACAGGCAATATACACACATGAAAACATAAGCAGCATAGGAGAATATAAAGAACAAAGTAAAAGTGGCCCCAGCTGGTAGATCTGGATTCCAGGACAATCACCATTCGGTCTCCCTCTGGGGCCTTTACACACACAGGCTTCGCAGGTGTGTATGTGAGAGAGACAGCGCCCATGCCACTCTTCGCAGTGTATTGTAAGCTACTCTGCTCCCTTCTTAATGTTCAACACAAGAAACCAAAGAAAAGGAAAAAGGAAGAGGAAAGAGCCCCAACACTGATGGACTTAGTCAGGTTCGTGATCCATTTTTTTTATCTTAACAACCATCTGAAGACCTCAGAACCATCATCTCATTTACAGATAAGGGCAATGAAGCCATGCGGGGTTGAGTAACTAACTTATCTGCAGTAAACTGACCTCTGAGGTTTCTGGCTTTGGCTGTGCCCAAATCCCAGGGTCTTGACACAGTCCCTACTGTCCTAGGGGGCGTCAGGCCCATCATTTTTCCAGGGCGCTTCCTCCAAGGAAGGAAGGAGACCCTCAAAGCTTTGGGTGTGGGCGGCAGTGTGGCTGTGTCTATAGGTCCAGAGAACTTGCTTCCCCAGCCTGAGTGGCCCTGTCCTCATTGGTGACCCCAAGCATGCCAGCCACACAGGAGAGCAATGTTCTACCCGCGCCCCTTCCTTCCTTGGCCTGTGCACACAGCTTCCTCTGGTTGAGCCTGGGGTCTCAACACAGCTGCCCCAACCTGCCTCCCGTTTACCCCCACGGAGGAGAGGGTGGAGAGGACAGAGAAGTCAGGATGTGCACGTCCTCACTGTTTGCTCTGCGGGGACCTTGGTGGCAGGAGGCACTGTTGACCCCTGGTGTTTGCCTGGCTTGCCCAACACTCTGCAAGCAGGCAGGGCGTTAAATGCCTGGCCCTGAGAACGGGGTCCCCAGAATAAACAGCATTGATTTTTCACAAATTCCTAAAGCAATTTTGGTTTTTCTTCCCAGCCTTTTCGCTGAATTATACATTTCTATTTGCCTGCTTTTCAAATAAGTCCCTCTGTTTGAAGGGTGGAAGAAAAAAGGAACTAGTATTTATTGAGTCAGGCCTTTCCCGGTGGGCACTGCACGGAAGCAGGATGTCAGGATCTCCATGTCCACGTCCATTCCACAGGTAGAGGACACAAAGCCTCTATCCAGGTTCCCCACAGTTAGGGCCAGATGACGGCTTTGTGCTCTGTCACTCTGGCCGCGTCTCCGCTGTCTTCCTCGAAGCTCTCATAGACATCAGGAGCAGGGGAGGGTTCAGAGGAGAGAGAGCAACTCTTGAAAGCATAAGGCACTCTGTCCTGTCATTACCCAAGAGAACTGAAGGTGAAGCCACCCAAAGACACCGAGTGTGAGTCCTCTCAGGAGCTTCATTCGGAAAGCTGACATTAGGAACAACCCCAACGTCCATCAATGCAGGGTCTAATTGTGGTCTCGCTACTCAGAACCCTAAGCACGCTGCCCATGCACGCAGAGAAGTGAACCCCAGTACTAAGGTTATTGTGCTAAGGAAGCCGGACACAAAGCAATTTACATAGTTATTATCCCATTTCTATGCTGTTCTAGAAAAGGCAAATTCCATCTTCCTAGGAGAATTGAGTAAGAATGGACGTGACTTTTGCTGTGGGTGGGGCCGGTAGATATGTCACAAGGGACTTACTTCCTGGATTTGTTCTCTGTCTTGCTCAGAGTGATGTTTTCAGAGACACACAAAATGTAGAAGAACTTTTGAATTATATGTTTAGAATCTAGGCTTTTCCTGCATGGAGATGACACCTTAGTAAAAATAAGTCACTGAAATGTAAGGGACAACAGCACCTCAGAAAGGGGAGCTGGAGAGGCATGGACAAGTGGGATCCAGGGAGGGTTTATGGGGCCATTCACATGGCCCCTCTGGGCCTCACCTGCAAAGTAGGGGTGATAAAAGCCTCTTTGCTGAGCTGTGGAGGAAAGGGAGCTATGTACACAGATTGGCTAACAGGGTTACTGTAGCTAATCACCCGTAGCTAATAGGGAAACAGAAGGTGTTTCTGGGAATCTGCTGGCCAGAGCCTGGGCAGGGAGGTCAAGGTGACCAGGCAGCCAGTTGGAGCCCCGGAAGCATGGGTGGAGCAGGCAGGGGAGGCTGTGCTGATGTAACCTCGTGCTCTAAGCACAGCCTTGTTCTCTTGTCCCACCAGGACCTCCCAGAGGCGGCATCAGGGAAGCAGCTTTGGATGTGGTAGGACCTAGCTTGGCACTCTGCATAGCATCCTGGCTGCCGCCCTCTCTCTCCTGTCTTCCCTTCCAGCTCAGATAACAAAGCAGCTGCTTTGGCTTCACTTTATTCTTCCTGTTTTCTTCTGTTCTATTCTTTCTATTCTTTCTATTCTATTCTATTCTATTCTATTCTATTCTATTCTATTCTATTCTATTCTATTCTATTTATCTGAGACAGGACCTCACTGTATTGTCCAGGCTGGCCACAAACTTGCAATCCTCTTGCCTGAGCCTCCCAGAATAGCTGCAACTGTAGGAGTGCACCCCTGCCCCTCATTCTTTTTTGTTATTTTAATCTAAGAAGTTACATGCCCCATACAAGCATTTAGCATTCTAAAAGTCTGCACACTCTCGGGCCTTGGATATAGCTTAGTGGCATAAGCACCTGCCTGGCAAGTGCAAGGTCCTGAGTTTGATTCCCAGTACCAAAAAAAAAAAAAAAAAAAAAACTACATAAAAGTCTGTGCACTCTCAACCTGGCAAAACACCTTAACATGTTTTGATAAAGACATTAAGATAAAGAAATACTCTATTTCCATTCACCTCAATGAACTCAGTTCACAAATCATCCTTGGATCACTTCTTTTTGTGCTCAGCACAAAATCAGAGAGATGAAAACACAGCCCCCGTATGCAAGGGCTGGCAGTGTAGCCCTTGCCCCATGGTGTCTCAGCAAGGTTAGGGTGCCCCCCCCCGCGCCCCATAGTCCTGTGGTAACCTAGAGCCGCTAGCTTGGCCTCAGGGACCTCACTTGTCTCAGGTATAGAATGGGGATCACAGAAGCCTGGGCCTCAGGGACTGGATCTGAGGCTGAGGAGTCCACGCATGTGAGGTGCTCAGGATGCCACCTCAGTGGTTTGATCACATTATAAAAGAATGTGTGCAAAGCACGGAGGAGGCTCAGAGGAAGAGAGGCAGGGAGGGAGGTGTGCCTTGCCAGTACGGGGCCAACACTGTGTGTTGGTGCCTCTGCCTGATCTAAGGAGTAACAATATAAACTCTGAGCAGAATGACCGAGCCTCCCAGTACCTAGTGCAGGCAAATGCGGGAGGATTACAAGTCCAAGTCCCGCCTGGGCAGCTTACCGAGATCCTGTCTCCTCAAAAGGGTGCTCATTTCATTGTTTGATCAGTCTTACATGACTGTATTTGTTTTACTGAGTAACCAATTTGAAGATAACAATATGTTATCCAGCAACCATTGTTAATTTCTTATCACCTTGTCTGAAATTCTGTATTGCTTTTATTGTGTTGGTGTTGTTTTGTTCATGTCTGTTTGTTTGTTACTGTGTTTTCATTCTTTTATATTTAAAATTAAAAAAATATGTTCACAGTAGAGCGTACCAGGTTTGATCCCTAGAACCCCCCCAAAAACATCAAAGAGAGAGCAAAATATCATGTCCAGAACCGAAACAAAAGGAACAGTTTTCCAGAATCTAACAGTTTTGAGGTTTGAGAAATACTAGGCTGGCCAACTGGCCTCTGGACCTGAATGCTCTAATGGATGCAATTTAAGCTCACCTGGTTTGAGTCAGTTTCTGGCTTCTCAATTTAGATCAGTCCTGTTCACCTAGAATGATCCTTTTCATGGAAAAGCCTTGGTACTAAGTGGGAACTTCGGGGAGAATCCACAGGGCTTCTACGCTGAGCTTGTAGTTTCCCTCTTTGCACATCTATTCCGCGCCTGAGTTAAACAACGTCTAGTTTACTTTAATCTGATCCATGATTTTGTGGCTTATGGGTGATAAGAATGGCAGCATTGTGTGTGGGCTGTGAGTTAATGCACTTACAGTGTTTGAAACACAGCCTGGCAGATAGAAAGTGCGCAATGCCAGAGGCAATACCCTGTGTCTTCCGGGATTCGTAGTGGAAAGTGACAGCCTGGAGACACTGAGTAAAACTGAGCAAACAGAAACACTCAAAGTCAATATGAAAAAGTCAACAGAGTCGGTGAAAATAGTTCGAGCCAAAGTCTGAGTTGGGCAAGTGCTAAGGGCCATGGTTGTCTGTTGTCTGAGCCACCCACAAGGGGCTCTCAATTTGGAATAACAAGCCCCAAAAGGCCCACGCCTGGGCGGATCCTGCACGCCCAGCCTGCCTTTTCCCAGGGGAAGGCACCAATGCCATCACAGGACAGGAGAAAATGAAGCGGGGCCTGGACATAATGTCCTAGAGATATGAGCTTCCCGAAACATCCGGGGGATTGCTGCATGGAGAGAAGAGATCATATCATGGGGCCCCTCTTGGCAAAAGCTGACAGTTTCACCATCAAAAAGGAAATAGTGACTATGGTTAAATAAGACAGGCTGAGTCTCTTAAAAGCTGCAAGTCCTTAATGGCCAGCATAGCTCAGAGTCTAAGAGTAAAGTTAAAATGTCAAAAAGGTTAGTTGTAATCAATCCGTAGTTTCGCTATTTTTTTTTTTTTTTTTTTGGTTTTTCTCCGGTACCGGGAACCGAACTCACAACCTTGCGCTTGCCAGGCAGGCGCTTTTGCCGCTGAGCTAAATCCCCAGCCCCAGTTTCGCTATTTTTAACAAGGTGGTGAAGCTAGGGATGTGTCTTTGGTTCCTGCTGTCACCGACACTGTCAGTCACCAGGTGGGATTCACCTTGCTTCCTGCATTCTGAGCAAGGATGAGAGTGAGCACAGGAAGCTGGGAGCAGCCAAAGCTCCAGACAAAGCAGAAATGGTTCCCACAGAGGAAGTGGCCCTGTGGGGTATGCGCAGGAGAGTCCGCAAGATGTTGCAAGTTGGTCAGTTTGTAAGATGCCAGCAGGAGGAGAAGCAAGGGGCCAACTCAGCTCCTCTCCCAGAAGACAAAACCCAGAACACCGGAGGTTAAATGAGCTCAGGGAAGACGGGAGTGGGGGCCATGCTGCTGACACAGTGGACTCTGTGCTAACCCTGCACCTGCGCCTCGTTCAAACCTCACAGCAGCGGTATGTGAGGAGAGGACACGCTCTGTCTCACTGAGGCTTAGGGAACCCCTCCCTTGAATCCAAGCTGCCTATCACAGTGCTCAGAAAGATGCTAAGACACCGGCCCTGGCCTTCGGGAAGCGGCAGGAGCACAAGCCCCGGAGGGGTGGAGCCATAGCCCTTAGGGTAAATGGCAGCTTGGGTCTGAGGAGCCCCCAGGGCACAGGGCTGCCCCCCAGGCCCGGGGCGCCATGCAGCAGGCTTCTCCACGCCCAGGACACATCCCTACAAGTCATGCATGGTCTGGTGGACAGGGCCACTGTGTGCCAGGAGTGCTTTGTGCCGTCACCTCATGTGCTTTTCCCTGCATTGGTGCAAGTGACTATTCTCAGCCCGACTTCACAGGTGAGGAAACTGAGGCATAGGGCAGTTAAGCGGCTTAAAGTGTCACAGAAGGAGTGGTCCAGGTGAGGCTTGAGCCCAGATTCACACTGCCCTCCACAGGGACCTGGAGTCTGGGCAGGAGCATGGACACCCGCACTCTCCCAGGAGTCTGCGAGCGTCAGCTGCCCTGAGGTTGCTGTCGTTCTCTCCATCCTGGATCTGCCAGCTCAGGACCGCTCGAAACCGTGTCCCCACCCTGCTGCAGACTCCTGGTCTCAGTGCTCAGCTGCCCTCCAGGCCACACCACGGGGCTCCTCTCTTGAGCCCCAGATACCCACAGGATCTCCTCGGGATGCATCTACTCCCAGGGACTCAACAGATGATGCGATGGACAGTTCCAGAGACACCAGTGGACTAGGCTTTCCCTGCTGTGTCCTGAGAACTGTGGGTCAGTATTCTGGAGAGCAGCCCAGTCTCACCCTACCCTGGAGATTCTGTCCTTGTTTGTATCCCAGCGCTTCTTCCCATGGTGGGTTTCCTGCTCCATGAAGAGTTGAGCATGGAGCCCTTGACCTGAAAGCGCAAGGCCCCAAGTCTGAGCCTCTTGCTTGTCCCAGCTGTCCCCACTCTGGGCCACTCCTCATTCCCCTCCGATTGTCCAGGTGCCCCCTGGGATACCCACCAGGCCTGTGACACACGCCACCCCATGCATATGGACCGTCTATAGCCTCAGGGGCTCCACTTGGCAATTTAGGGTAGTTCTGTCCTCCTCCCTCTGCACCTGGCCCGGGAAACCTGCCAAGGTTCAGAGAGGTGAAGGCGCTCACCTGAGGGAGCACAGCTTTCTTTACAGATTTACTCTCCTTGGTGCCCGTTGGGCTCCAAGCCAGGAGGGAGAGGCTGTCAATCGCAGTCGTCTGGAGCAAGTGCGACTGAGCCTCTGCTGAGGGTTAGGGAATGGTTCCTCTTCAGGTTTGGTGTGGGTGATGGCCTGGGTCACAGAGCCTGGACAGAGCAGGTACAGCAGGTGACGCCCAGGACTGCCCGGACCAGGAAGGGCCAGCCTGGTACCCGCCCAGCAAAAGGTAAGGTCCCTTCCTGCCCCAGCCTTTGCCCCTCCTGGACCTGGTACCATTGCCAGCCAGAGTTCCCTTCCTCTAGACCAAGCCACACACCTTGGGAGCTTGAAGTACACGACTGGCCACCGTGCTGCAAACGTGAGCTAGCCGAGGAGCTGGCCGAAGATGCACCTGCTCCCAGGGCCACCAGGAATCCTGGGCAGAGGGGCTGTGGCCAACCACCAGAAGAGGATGAGTTTGGCAGAGCAGGGAAGATGGGGCACCTGCTGCTGTCCACTCTGTGGGGCAGACAGGACAGACAGCTGGTCCCCACAGCTCCATTGTACAGATGGAGAAACAGAAGCCCAGAGAGGGCAAAACCTGCCCAGGGTACAAAGGGCCAGCCTCCCTGCGACCACAGTCTTGCTCTCCAAGCTGGGAGTGGATGTAAACCAGCCAGTCCCTGGAGGGCGGGGGGATCCATGCAGCTCCAGGGCGCAGACCAGGCCCCTGAAGCCAGGCGACGGGGGAGGGAGTAGGCGGGGAGCAAGGAAGGGGAGCATGAGCAGCTTCCCACTTTCTGTAGGGGTCACTGAGAGTACTGAAGGAGGCAATGCCAGCAGGGAAGCAGATGCGCCTGCTCCCAGGGCCACCCCCAAGCCCACCTGAGTGACCCCAGGGAGACCCACTGACGTGGGGCGCATCACCGGAGCTAGTGGGGCGCACGGGGCCCCAGGCTCTGCTACTGCTGCATTGCATCCTGCAGCAGCCAGACGAGGCAAGGACTGTCACGGTCCCCACGGCACAGACGGGGAAGCTGAGCCTGCAGCCTCACAGGAAGTGAAAGCGCTCCCGGGCTGCACCTGCGTGCTGGCTTCCCGTGGGTCCCTCGTCCACAGAGCTCCAGGGTGGAAGGCCAGCAGGCACTGGTGAAGGACAGAAAGCCAAACTGCATCGTCAGTCATTCCACACAGAGCCCTGGTGCACCCTGGGTACTCAGCTAGCACGGGGTGCACAGGGGGGTCGGGGTCTGACTGAGGATTGAAATGGGGGGCCCTACTAGCCAACCCTGCAACCCCACCACTCAACTGGCCACAGCAGTGCCCCCACAGTTTGTGTCAGCCCCAGGGTGGGGCCGTGTTCCCAAGGAGAACTCAGGTGGCTAGAAGGGGAACCTCCCGCCACTCGGAGCAGCGGGGTGGCAGCAGGGTGGAGGGCTGGACCGAGCCAGAACCAGAAGCTTCTGTGTGCCTGGCACTTTGCCAGGGGACTTCCCTCTCTCTGATGTAGAACAGCACACCTGTGGGTTCAGAGAGGTGAAGGCGCTCACCTGAGGGAGCACAGCTTTCTTTACAGATTTACTCTCCTAGATCTAGCCTATCCCAGGGGTATGCTGCGCCAGCCTGCCGTAGCTGTGTCTCCCTTAGTCACGCTCCAGTTTCCTGTAGAGGAAAAAGAACCCCACTCTCTGCACCTGCAGAAAAAAATCCTCGACAGGAAACCAGAGGATTTGGGTACCTAAAGCTGAGTGGTTCCTCTTGGAGAAGCAGACTCCCTGCTTTGGGGCTTGATTCCCCACCGGTCAAATGGGTTCGTAAACCCACTGTGACTCTCCCAGGGTAGAATACAGTCCTCAGCACCACACATTTCCAGGCAGCTGGCTCAATAAATGATGGATTTGCTCTAATGGGGGCAGTTCCAAGGATGCCCCAGCAAGGGTGCAGGGCCAGCAAAGTGGTAGTGTCCCAGGGACCAGCTGACTCAGGCCAGCCACCCACCTTGGGGCTAGGATGCCGAGGCGTGGAGGATGAGTCAGGTCGGGTAATGGAGCAAGAGCCGTGGCTGCCGGGCAGAATGTGTGGCGGGCAGCGTGGGCAGCAGCTCAGAGCTGGGCCGTGAACTTAGGCCCTGTTTGTTTGCTCCTCCAATAACGAGGAGGCCACCTTGGTTAATATTCACTAGCAGCCTCCCTGTCGCCCCTAAGCATCGCTGCTTAAATACAGACAAGGACAGGGCTCCGTCTCCTCAGCCTCCGTCTCCACCACCAGCCCCGGACTGAGTCGTAAGTGTGCCTTTCCCTCGGGGGATTGCTGGGGCCTCTCAGTCTCTGTATGACCAGGCAGGCTGCGGACCTGGGGCTGGAAGGTGGGCGGGAGAATGCTGCTGAGCCTCCTGTTGTCATAGTAACGCAGCCCCCGAGGATCGTTCCTGTGGGAGGAGAGGAGGAAAGAGGTCCTGGGGAACCAAGGTACAGCCGCAGGGTGACAGGAGCAGAGTTCTGTGTGCCCAGCCCCTGATCCCAGGGCCTTTCCTGCCCTCAGCCTCCCCACCTCCCTGCTGCCTGGGCGCAGGCCTTTCCCCTCTAGGATGAGGAGGGGGCTCCACCACAGGGCAGGGGAGGCGTCAATGTGCCCACCCTCCTCCTCCAGCAGCAGCCTTGGGTCCTCCTCCCAAGCAGTAGCCTCCGCACTCCCTGTGCTCCCTGGAGGATGGGGACGGCAAGCCCCCACCAAGGGCACCGTCTGGGTCCTTTGAGCTGAAGTCCTGTGTGATCATCATGCTGAACCTGGCTGTCTCTCAGCTCGGTGCATTCCCTGACATATCTGAGCCTCCTTGCAGCGCCCTTGGAGGTGGTTGCTATGGTTATCGCCATTTATAGAGGAGGATGTTGGGAATGGAGAGGTCAGAATCCTACTCTGAACCCCACACCACCCAGAACGCAGACCTTGGGTCTCAGCTGTGGCTGTGGAGCAGGAGGCCCGAGCTGCCCTTGAGGCGCCTCTGATTCTCTGTGACTCTGAGCAAAACAAGATAACCTTGGAACCCCCAACCTTGACCTCTGCAGACGTAGAAGGAGTTGACTTTTCTATCACTGATTTTTGGAGAGGGGGCCAGGAAGGTGCCCTGGCCTAGGCAGCCAGATTCCCATACCGCTTGCGCGGAGATCCCCAGCATGGTCAGTAACAACTGGCACTACCTGAGTGCCTGCTCTGGACAGGCACTGCTTGACATCGTGTGCATATTTAGTTTGCAAAGTCACTCTGTGAAGATGTACACAGGCACCCTATCATCTCCAGGAAACCAAGTTCAGAGAAGTTGAGTAACTTGCCCAAAGTCACACAAGGAACAGTGAGCTGGACTCAGCAACTTGGCCTCAGAGCTCCTAATTTTAGCCACAAAGATGTTGCCTCTCTTCACTTACCCAGGCCACCTCTGAGGTTTCCTACTCTAAGGGTAAACATAGAGAAGGGTCAACGGCCGAGTTCTGGCGTGAAGAGTTAGCTCCTAGCTGTGTAGGCAGCTGGCTCTGTGGTTTTTATTAAGTTGCTTAACCTGTTGGGACCTTAATTTTTCCACTTGCGAAATGGGAGTAATAATAGTCTCCACCTTACCAGATAAATGATGAGGGACGCTTAGATGAGACTGCTTAGGCAACACGTGATGCTAAGTAAATGCAGAGATGATCACACTGATGCTGAGGTTTGCTTAGCATAGGTTCTGGCAGCAGGCAGTGCAGGAATACTTGGAGAATGAGGGTAACATTTGCCAGACTCTGGGGCAGGTCATTGCTGAGGAAGAGTCCCATCTCCGGCCTCAGGCAGTGCAACAACTGGCCAGAAAGAAATCAATCTGCAAGTCCCCAGGACGGCTCCTACCCCTGTCGGTGGCCCCCACAGGTCACTGCTGGTGCTGCACCCCTTCCTGCCAAAGCTTTTCTCTACCTGGTGCTCATAGGAAGGCTTCTTCTCCAGGAAGTGAGGCTCAAAGAGGTGAAATTATTTGCCCAAGGCCACCTGCCAGGAAGTGGTGGGACTGGCTTTCTGACTCAGTGCTGGGTCTCAACAGCTTGTAACCTTACGCCAGGGTCCCCTCCCCAGAAGGAGTGTTCTTGGCCACTCATTTTATGCTCCTGGATGGAAGTGGTGGGAGATGAGACCCAGGGTGGCACACTTCCGTACCTGCCCCCTCACAAAGGCTGCTCCCGCCTGCCCTGGGTTCCAGACCATGTCTCTGTACCACCCTCGGTCTGTCAGCTGGAAACTTGGCCTCTATGTCTGTACCTGTGGGAGCTTCACAACCACTCTCTCCTCTCCAGCTCTAAGTTTAGGGGTTTAGGGGGTCACCTTGGGAAGAGACCAGGATCCTAGGCTACCAGTGTTTGAAGGAACAGACTGAAGGGAAAAATGAGCCTAAGAGGATGCTGAGGATCAAGGTTGGGCCCAGTTCTGACGTTCACGGAGCCTGAGCCCCGAGGCCACGGCTGCCTCACTTTGTGATCCAAGTGGTAGGAAAAGCCAGGCCCGCTCCAGTAGGCTGCACTTAGGGGGCTGCAGGCCAGCGGTTTGTGGCCTGGATGTACACGGAGTAGACGAGCTCTGTGGGCAGGTAGCTCTGTACTGTTCTGGGTGACATCGACTTCCACGGTCTCCATGCTCTGATGCCGATCAAAGCCAGTAGGTAGCAGTGGCGAGGCCCACAGCCTCTGGCCCAGAGGCCACTCAGCATGGTTCATGTGCCCACCCTGGCGTGACCCAACTCCCCCCATCCCTGCAAAGATGGGGAATTTCCATAGGGTGCACCCAACTCCAGAAGGAGAGAAAGGCAGAAATCTAAGGTGATAGAAATACACAGAACTGCTCTGTTCTCAGCTCTACACACTGGCTAGTGTAAGAAAAATATAAACACTGTTATGTAACATGCAGGCCCCTCTTCTTTAGAGATGTAAAGCCCAGGGGGGCAAAGGGATGGTAGAAAGAGACCAGTCTTGTGATTCTTTCTTTTGTCTCACGTGAACGGAACTCCCAAAAGGTCGAGGGTCCACGCGAAAGTCAGTGCCTTCTCTGCCCAGCATTTCTCCCTCAAGTTTTCAAATTCCCAATTCAAGGACAACTTTGTTTCTGTGTTCTATTAAGATGGCAGCTTTAGTTAAGGGACTAACAGCTAAGTGTGTGTAACTTCAGGCACATTCTTTGCAACTTGGACCTCAGATTCCCCATCTGTAAAGAAAGCAGGTTGTTGGCCCCAGGGCACTACAGGTCAGTGGTTCATGGCCTAGACAGATGTGAAGTGGAGGCAGCTTTTCAGGGCAGAGCTTGCCTGCCGATGGTGCTGATGTCTGGGAATGTCTCCAGACAGAGGCTGCCCCTTGGGTTCAGCCACAGGCTTTGCCATTCTGTTACCTCCCCAGCCAAGGAATGCACAGCTCATACCCACCTGTCACCTGAAGGTTTGGAGTGTGTGACGCCTGCAGTGACTTTCCTCCAAACAGCACCCCAGGGCCCTTCCATGTCTATATCTATTTCACAGAAGCCTCCCACAACCCCACTTTACAGATATGGCACAATGAGGACAAAAACTTTTCAATGACTTGTGCTAGCTCACAGAGCTGGTGAGCGGCAGCCTGGACTGGAACTCACAGCTGTCTGAAGATATGAAATAGTTTCCACCTCCCATCTTCCCACATTGGCCCCCATTTTAAAGGAGCAACAAGCCCCTCCACCTGCCCCAGAACCGGGCCACGAGAGGAGACAAGATGTTAAGAAGCTCATGGCAGGGGTCCCAGCCCAGCCTCAAGCTGGATCACAGCAGAACACCACAGCCCTGCCCTCAGAGAAAGCCTCCATATTCAAGGGCCCTTGTGGGCAGTGGGGAGCAGACGCCTGGGACTGTATTACACAGCTCCCCATGGGCCTCAGCCTGGTCCCTTCCTGCTTCCCCGGCTGCCGTGACTCCCAGCTGTTAAACAACAGAGTTGGGTGGGTGCTTCTAGGGACTATCCTGGTTCAAAGCAATTCTTGACCCTGATCTTGCCAAATTGCCCTGACAATTGTGCTAAGTCCATCCCTTCTCCAGTGCCTCAGTTTCTTTTTGTGTGTGTGTAGTGAAGATGATGCCACCTTTCCCTCAAGGTCATGGTAAATGAAAGCAGAGCTGTCGAGGGCATGGGCTCAGTACTCAGACTGGCTGTGTGTGACTCTGACTCTGACACTGACTTGCTGAACTGAGACGTGAGCCTTAACCTCTCTGGGCTTTGGCTTCCCTGGGGTGAATGCAGGGTAGTAACATTTCTCCCACAGGAGTGTTAGGTGGAGTACTTTAAGGATAACGCTTAGCAGAAAGATAGCATTGTGAACCTTTGGCTGTTTTTCTGATTTTTAAATGAGGGTAGTGTAGGGAAGTGCTTGGCACAGGCTGGGCATGTGGTAGATGGTAAGTAAACCATGGCTGCCGTGTTGTGTGGCGTTAATCGGTGGCCAGTGGGAGTTGTCGTGGGTCCTGACACAGGGCTGTGTCCCCTTTCTCTGTCTTGCAGGACAATGCCATCCTCTATCTCTCGGGGCCTCCTGCTCCTGGCAGGCCTGTGGTGCCTGTTCTTTGGCTGCCTGGCTGAGGATGCTCAGGTGACAGACTTACCTGACCATGAGCAGGAGCACCTTGCCTGCCACAAGATCGCCCCAAGTCTGGCTGAGTTTGCCTATAGCATGTACCGGGTGCTGGCTCAGCAGTCCAACACCAGCAACATCTTCTTCTCCCCCGTGAGCGTGGCCTCAGCCTTGGCCATGCTCTCCCTGGGAGCCAAGGGGGACACTCACACCCAGATCCTGCAGGGCCTGGAGTTCAACCTCACGGAGACATCTGAGGCTGACATCCACAACGGCTTCCAGAACCTTCTCCACATCCTCAACAGGCCCAACAGCAAGCACCAGTTGACCACCGGCAATGGCCTCTTTGTCAGCTTGAACCTGAAGCTCGCAGAGAAGTTCTCGGAGGACATCAAGAAACTTTACCATGCAGAAGCCTTCCTCACCAACTTCAGCAACCCCGAAGAGGCAGAAAAACAGATCAATGCCTATGTGGAGAAGGGAACCCAAGGGAAAATTGTGGATTTGGTGAAAGACCTGGACAAAGACACACTTCTTGCCCTGGTGAATTACATTTTCTTTAGAGGTAAGTTTGCACAAGCAGCCTAAACTGAGCTAGCCTTTATCATCCCAGTGCTCCCTGGAGATCCTTACAAGGGATGTAATCCCAGCACTTTGGGAGGTTGAAGCAGGAGGATTGCAAGTATGAGCCCAGCCTGGGCAACGTGAGACCCTGTTTCAAAATAAAATAAAATTGAACTAATAAAGGCTGGAGATATAACTCACCAGGAACACCTTGGGTTTAATCCCCATTACCACAAAAAGAACTTGGTTTAAATCCAATCACCACCACTCATTAGTCTTGACGCTGGACGAGCCATTCTGCCTCTTTGAAGTGGAACTGTCCTGTCTTTTCTTGGACAGAACAATACCACTGTGATCAGGTTTTGAAAGGAGAAACCAAGTTACGTAACACAAGGGCTTGGAGGTAGCATGCATAGCTGACCTACTAACCTCAGTCCTCAGCCTGCCCTCTTGCTTCTGAGCAATGGGAGGGCCAGGACCCCAGGGGCCCCAGGTTCTAAGGCATTGTCCACAGCCCAGGGAAATAGCCTGGGGGAAGGAAGTGGGGTCCAGGCCAAGCCTGCTGTCCTCTCCCTACCTCCCCCATCCCTGGGCAGAGTCTGGCGGTGCAGAACACCCAGGCCGCAGTCAGCATAACTGAGGTCTCAGATCTGCTGTAACTTGGGGCAATTCCTGTCCCCTCTCTGGTCTCTTTGCCTCTTCCTTTCCAATGAGAAAGGTGGACTCAGGGGTCCCAGAGTCGCCTGCCCACGCTGACAGCCTGGAGGCTGAGACACACTAAGACAGCAGAGGGGAGGTGGCCCGGGCCTCCGTACTGCACATATGGGTTCAGGGTAAGGAGTAGAGTGGAACCCAGAAAGTCCTGATTGTGTACTATAGAGCCCCAGATGAGGAGCCACCAAAATATGACTGGTACCCCAAATTTTTACCTGTAATTTCCAAGCCAACCCTAAATATATAATCCAAATACAAATGCTTGCTCCAGGTCTTCCCTGGTCTGGAATTGCCCTCTCTCTGCCCTGTCAGTGGCCTGCAAAGCCAATTGCAGCCCCTTTTGCACTTGATGAAGCTGAGGCTCAGAGCAGAGGATGCGGCCATGGCCGGCCAGACTCCTTCACTCCATCACACTCACCTAGACCTTAGACCCAAACCAGGATGCTGTTTCTGTCCCCTCTCTCCAGGCAAATGGGAGAAACCCTTCGAGCCTGAGCACACCACGGAAGAGGACTTCCACGTGAATGGGGAAACCACCGTGAAGGTGCCCATGATGAACCGCCTGGGCATGTTCAGAGTGTTTCACTGCAGCACGATCCAAAGCTGGGTGCTGCTCATGGACTACCAGGGCAATGTCACCGCCCTCTTTTTCCTGCCAGATGAGGGGAAAATGCAGCACCTGGAGAAAACGCTCACCAAGGAACTCATCTGCAAGTTCCTGGGCAAGACAGAGAAAACGTGAGTCCCCCGCCAGAGAGCAGACAGAGTGCGCCACCTCTGGGCTAACTCAGAACCAACCCCGCCACACTGACAAATAGCGGGGGACAGTGGGTCACATCTTTTGGGCCTCAGCTCCCAGAAATGACCCTGGGTTTTCAAAAGACAAAAGGGCAGCGCTTAGTTCCAGTAGCACCAGCCAAGCTCTGAAAAGAACGATGGGAAGAGGGAGGAAGCACAGGTCCTGCTGGGGATGGTGGGTGGATTTCCTCCCCCAGAATGGGCAGAGTGTCTTCCCAACACCCAGGGCCTGGGGCAGGGACAACAGCAGCATGAGTCATGGCAGAACTCAGAAGCACCAGGCACAGGTGGCGGCTGAGTGCGGCATCCAGGCTGGGCTGTCCTTGGGTGGAAAGGGGGCAGGCCCCGATGGGTAAGGCCAGCACAGGACAGTCCAGGGCATTGTGCAGAATGCTCCTCTTCTCTGCCACTTGTCAAGGTGGTTACTGGGTCCCCAGAGCTGATAGTTCCCCAGAGCGACCCAGATGGGTGCAGGTTGGTGCCTCATAACTGAGCCAGCGCTCTGCGGCACCTTTGCTTGGAGTTCACTGCAAACACGCATGGAAATGTACCCGAGTACAGTAAGAGCGAACTGTGAAGTGTCGCTATGGTGTCATCCTAACCTTCTCAAGGTACCTGCATGCAGGCTGAGATCAGAAGTCCAGGCTGCTCCTAGAACTGGTTGCCAGCCCGGGGCCATCTGCTCCCTCAATGCATACCCAGGGGGCCTCGGCTTTGCCCTGATAGAGACCACAGGTGGGCCTTCAGCCCCATGAGGTCCCTCTGCTCTGAGCAAGTGTCATTCAGTCCCTGCCACAGTGACCCATGCTCCCCTGGGAGTCAGGCCACAGAAAGTCCCTGGCTGGGGGAGAGGGCTGGCCAAACCTAGCAGGGCAGGATGACACCTGCTTCCAGGAGGACAGCCTACAACTGCCCTGAGGACTTCACAAAGGAAGTGGCATCTCAGAGGCTGCCAGGACCCATGGTACCTGTGATATTAATATTCTCTGTCCCTGGGACAGAGAAGGATGAAACTCCAACAAATCAAGCCAGCATCCCATCCTGCTATGTAGGACAGGACACTCATGGGGGACATAAGAGAAAGGAAACACTGTCACACCGGGTGGTCTCAGCAGAACATGAGAAACGCTGGGAATCTCCTTCATTTTTCCTCTCTCATGCCAGGTCTGCCAATGTGCATCTCCCCAAGCTGTCCATTTCTGGAACCTACAACCTGAAGACTGTCCTGGGCAACTTAGGCATCACCAATGTCTTCAGCAATGCTGCTGATCTCTCGGGGATCACGGAGGACGCTCCCCTGAAGCTCTCCAAGGTGAGGTCACATGATGAAGGTGATGTCCTAGGTATCTAGAGGGCAGAATGGGATGTAAGACACAAGTCAGCAAGAGGATGAGGAAGGGGAGCAGGGACACATACCGGGTCCAGCTGCTCCACGGGAAACACAGGATTCACTGGGACAAAACAGGGTAAGAAAACAGAGCTGGGGAGGCGGCTTCTCATGCTCCGGATTGGTAGGGACCTCTGTTCAGGTGCCTCCCTGACCTCAGTCTCATCTTCTCTTAGGACCTTCAGGTTCTTAGGCCTCAATTAACCCACATTCAGGTAAAGAGGCTTAGCCTCAGTCACTGCAGTGTTCTGGAATCTTCCATGTGTGAGATCGAGAGCTACTGGTAACTCCAAGGTCTCAGGTGTGAATGAGCTCAGCCAAAGGTGCTAGTGGTTCAGGGAAATCAAGGGTGACCAGGAGCAGGCCAGGTCAGTGTGGGCTGTGCACCAGCAGAGTCCCTGTCCCCGGGGCTCTCCAGCACACACTGGAAAGGAGACATATGAGCAGAGGCACGGCCTCCATGTGACCTTCTCCTTCTGCATATGAGGGCTGTACCGAGGATGTGACAGGTGGCTGTACTCAAGATGGGAGCTGAGAAGACAGTGAGCCAGGTTAAGCAAAGACCAAGACAGGGGCCAAGGCTTCCTGTGGTCGTGCAGGGAAGGGACGGCAGACAGGGCAGGACCGTCAGGAGGAGAAGGGCTCTTGTGAGGCCATACCGAGAAGAGGCTCCCACCTGGGCCTTGCTCCAGCCTGGGTGGGGACGGCCCAGCCTCAGCGCCGGCCTCTGCCTCTCCCTTCCAGGCCATGCATAAGGCAATGCTGACCATAGACGAGAAGGGAACAGAGGCTGCGGGGGCCACAGTGCTGGAGGCGATACCCATGTCTATGCCCCCTGAAGTGAACTTCAACCGTCCCTTCGTCGTTGTCATCGTCAGCCACTCCACCGACAGTCCCCTCTTCTTGGGCAAAGTGATGGATCCCACACAGAAGTAACTGCCATCAGGCTTCGGTTCCCCAATCAGCCCAAGTCCCCTCCCTGGTGACATTAAACAACATTAACGCCTTCGTGTGACCTGCCGGCCCCTTTCCCTGTGTCTGAGTCTCCTTTGCACTCTGAGGCTATGAGAGGACCAGGTCACAGCATGTCTTGGTGTCCCTGCACCCATAGGTGTGAGGTCCTGTGCTGTGTGGCCTGTGCTGGGAAGGGCGACTGTGGCTGAGACCTCATCCCACAGGCCCTCGGCCCCTCTGCTCCCAAAATCTCCAGTCCTGCCCGGGATTCAGGAGGGGCTGTGTGGCTCAGATGCCAGCCTGAGGCCCCAGGATCCAGCAAGTGTCCTCCATGTCCCTGAGAGAATCCACCCCCACCATGCACAACCCTCACTGTCAACACTGCAGCGCCCCCTGCAGGCCTGGTCACGCCCACTCGGCCGCCCTCCCGTGGCTCCCAGAGCTGCCAGCTCTCCACCAGGCATTGAGCAGCTGCATTTCCACACGTGGGGGACAGTGATGTGCCCTACCAGTCCCATTTCCTCTTCTGTTCTGTTCTCTTGTTCTTTTTTTTTCCACCCCACCTGGTCACTTCACCAAGTCTGGTCCAAACCTCTAGGAGGCCGGGGTCGGGGAGTGGACTGAAGGAAGACACCTTGCAGCCCCAGAGCGCTCTGGCTGGAGAAAGTGTGACTAGCTGGCACCTGGCGCCCCTGAGGCTGGTGTGCGCTTTTGGCTTGCTCCTTTGGAAAGGGAAAGGAGGGAAGAGAACAGAGGAGAAGCAGCACATACAGGTGGCATGAGGGGAAATCTGGAAGGCTTTTGCCTTAGGGCGCTCTGCCCATTCTGTCTGTGCCTGCCTGGCCTGGGGATGGCCAGACCACAGAGAAATCCATCTCCAGGACGTGCTGCTGGAAGCGCTGCCCCCACTCTTCCTGCATGGGGGAGGGAGCTGGGATTCCTCAGAACCCACCCTCGAGGGTGCACCTGTTTCAGACCAAGGGACATCCATGTTGGCTGGGGCACCAATGAGGGGACGGTGGGAGGTGGGGTTGCTGCACCTCTTCCAGCTTCTGTGGCAGGTCACTGGCCTCTTTGTTCGCTCAGGCCACAGAGGTGTCTGGTGGGCCCAGCTCGAGGCCCTGCAATTGCTGATATTCTGCCCCTGGTGTCCTCAGCTTCACAGTGCTCAGCCGGCTGCCTGCCAGAGGCTGCTCACCCCCTCAGAGTCCCTCAGCCTTGTAGACAGTCAAGGACAGGACTCAGAGTCCCAGCCACAGGCCAGGCTGCCTGTCTCAGTCTCAGCTGGCAGGTGCTAAGGAACTTGCTGGTGGCGAAGACCTGCTGCTTTGGGTGGAGCTCTGGTACGGACCGCTCCTGGGCCAGCACTTGGCCCACTCAGTGCATGGTGTCCCTTTGGGCAGCTGTGACACAGCTCTCCAGCATTCAGAGGCACCCGTGCATGGCTAACCAGAGCTGTGTAGTCCTCAAAGCAAGGCCACACAGCAGGCCTGAATAGCTGCCGGCACAGGAGGTGCTGTTGAGCCTTTAGGCCCAAATTATTTAGGCTGCAAAAGCAGAAGCTGTCAATCCCACTTCCTGCCTCGCCTCAGGAGCCATGCTTGGACCGGCGTGGGTGTTTGCGGCACTGCCTGGACTCTAAGGACTCTGTCACCCGCTGCTTACAGGAGTAGGCCATCTTCTCAAGGAGGGATTTGGCTTGCATCGCAGTTTACGCTTTAGGCATGTCTTGGCGTGGACCTCTGACCTCCGATGGGAGGAGGCAGTTCTCCTGCAGGGGGCGCTTGGCCTTCACTGAGCCCAGGAAGCCTGTGGTGATGGAGGGCATGTCCCCAGTGATGGGCATGAGGCTGAGCTCCCGGGGAACCTGGTCGAGCCCATCTCCTGATTAGTCTTGCAGTCCAGCCAGGAGCGACAGTGGCAGTGCTTCTATCATGCACAGGCCAAGGGCTGCTGAGGGGCCCATCATCGGTCAGAGCAGGAGCCAGGTCCCCAACCAGAAGCTTCTTCTTGATGAGGCACGTCTTGGGCTTCTTCAAGACTTCTCAGAGCGCGTGTTTGGGGAGCCATGGGGGACCTCACCATCAGCGCACGCGCCACAGTGGGAGTGCGCATGCGTGTCTCCCCAGCGTCTGGCGGTTTTCCAGAACTCCGCGCATAACTGTAAACGGATACGCAGCACTGGCTCTGCGCCAGAAGTGGGGTTTAGGGGTGCTCTAGTTCTCAAACCGCAGCCACTGGGCCTGTGGGCGCCGCTCAGAAATACAGAGACAGCTTGGGGCTCTAGTCCTCAGGATTTTCGGGGATAGGAGAAACCTTGGGCCAAGCCCACGGTGGAGAAGCCAGGAGGGGACCCGATGGCTTTGTTGATGGCAGAGCGTCTGGGCTTGGCCAGGGAGAGCAGGCGGGACGGGAGGTGCTGAGACGAACTCCTTCGCTAGTTGGTCTTCCTAGCGGGGCCCGGGCGGGCCTAGGGGACCTTCAGGCAGGCGCTTCTGCTTCAGGAACCTGCAGAGGAGGTCGCTGGGCGCCGCTGCTGCTCTAGGGCGCCTGTCCCTCTCCTCCTCCTTCCTCATGGCCTCCTCCTCCCCTCCCCCCGCCTGCTCCGCCACGATCCTCCTTCTCCCCTCCTAGTCCTTTCCTCCTCCTCCCTCTCTTCCTTCATCTCTTCCACAAATTTTAGATCTCTAGCAAAGGGAGAAAACTGCTGGAAAATTGGAAGTGCAGTTAGTTCCACTGAGGCGTCAGTCACAGGAGGCAGAAATGTAAAGAAAAGCCCGACTCTGAAGAGAGAGGGAGCCCTGTGTTCCAGACGTCCGGCGGCTGCCTCTCCAGGAGCCAGAACGGCAGCCTGGAATCCTGGCCTGGCTGCTTCCCCGCACAGTGCGGAGCTCTGGACACAGCTGTGTTTTGGAATCGATAGAGCAGTAACTTCCATGGCTTTGCTTGTGAGATCTGCTGCCTGACTCCCAAGGAAAGCCAGGGCTTGCTCAGTGTGAAACGTGAGGGCCAGAGCGGCTCAGCATGGAGAGGCCAACTTTCATGGAACTCAGACTCAGAGCTGCCGGGGCCTACATCCGACCCCGCCCAGCACCGAGCGCTGTGTGAGTCAAACTTGTTCTGAGCTCGCGGTTTGCACCGCGGAGTCCTCACGCTTGGGTTCTTGGCTGTGCACCTTGCATGACCAGCATACATGAGTAGATGTGAAGTTTAGCTCCACACAAGCTCCCCCCGAATCCACAGCCTTCGGGGGCCAACTGTGAGTGGGGAAGTCACCGCTCAGTGCAGGCTGAGGCTGCGTGCGTGCCCAGGAGTCAGGAAGCCAAAACACGGTCTCAGAGCCTGCTTGCCAATTACAGGCCTGCTGCGAGGCAGCACTGCAGGCCTCCCAGCGGTTACACAGCAGAGAGGCGCTGAGTAACCTCTGCCTGCCCTCACATCACGAAGGGAGAGGAGGGCCTCTGTTCCTCCCAACACCACTGGCCTCCTCTGTCTTGAAAGACTCGCGTCTGGGCAGCCCCATGACCTCCCGGAGCGGAGGTGGTTTTATTTAAGGTCACTGCGTGTGCACAGAGCGACCAGAACAGAAAGCCAAGAAGAGACCTCTCACCATCCCAAACCCAGCCGAGTCTGTGCCGGCTTCCAGTTTCTGTCTGCGTAAGTAAATGACTACCCTTTCTTTCCCTCAGGAAAGTGGAATAGAAAAGGAGATAATGTCTCTTAGTGGAGAATAAATAGAAAGCTTCCTTTATACCTATATATTGGCAGTGGCAATAAGTACACAGGTTGAACAAGGGTAATTGTACTGAGACTGTGAGAGATTGTATTCCATGCCTAGTGTGGGTTTCAATTGCTTTTCAGGACAGGAGGAGGAGGGGGAGCGTTTGGAAGGGCTTGGGAAGTTTTTTTTTTTATATCACAGCCAAATCGACCTAAGTGCTAAGTAAAATCACCAGGGCCCTGGAGTGGATGCTCACCCATTACAGTCCACAAATTCTCATTTACAGAAATCGGCTTAGTCTCTCCAGGCTCACAAGATTTTGTAGGCCAGTAACTGCTTGGATTAAGTACTGTTATGGTTTGGGGCTTATTTTGTAAGGGGAACAATATAATACAGGCATATATTTTATAAGATTATTTATAACAGTCACCCAAAGAATCATACACAAGAGAGTTCAGGAAATGTGTCCAGAACTGGAGACCAAAGAATCCAGCTGAGGGCCTGGATCCCACGGATAATGTCCTGCATGAGTCCAGCTAAAGACCTGGAGCTCATAACAATGCCTCCTATGAGTCCAGCTGGAGACCTGGAGCCCATAACAATATCTCATGCAGGCCTGTTTCACGCGTCAGCCCTGGGAAGGCCCAAAGGTCAGTTGTGGAACCTAGGAAGTCTGTGCCAGTGAGATGAAGGATTTGTGCTAGCAGGCTTTGTGAAACATGAGGGCCAGAGAGGCTCAGCATGGAGATGCCCACTTACATGTAACTCAAACTCAGAGCTGCTGAGGCGTACATCCGACCCAGCCCAGCACTGGAGCCAGGAAACAATGCTTAAGGTAAGAACCAGAGCTCCCCTGCAAAGTACCACAGCCATCCTCAGCAATAGTGAGGTCCCGAGCTCCTCTGATGATGAAGACAGCTGAGTTCCCATCAGGAAAGCCAATGGGACAAACTTCTCCAGGAGACTGGCAGTGCACCATCTTCCCCTCTGGAGCCAGGAAACTATGCTTAAAGTGAGGACCAAAGCTCCCCCAAAGTGAACCAAAGCCATTCTGTCAGGGCCAATAAGATTCCAAGCCCCTCAAAGGATGAAAAGATCCAAGTTCATCAGGAAAGCCAGCATGACAGTCTCCTCCAAAAGAACCAACAGCCTTTTCTCAGCTCCCACCAGCCTTCCTTCTTCTTCTCCAGTTCTGCCTCTTAGGCCGCTGGCGAGAATCCTCAGGTGGGCCTCCCACACCCAGCACCATGCTTTCTCAGTTCAGCTGGGGGTTACACGTTGACCGCCAGTCGTCACCCCGCAGGTGTGGTTTCAAAGTACCACCTTCTCACCTGACCGGG